TGGAGTGCAATATATGGCTCTGGAGCAGTTGACCATCACAAAGCGAGGAGAACAATGCCTAGGAGGGATATATCCCGAGTCATAACCTCCCCGTGCTAGCATATTATCCACTAGAATTTCACTGAGTGCCCAAACTCTCTGAAGCAAATATCTGCAAAAGCCGTGAAGTCATCGCTGCAACAGAAGATCAAATCAGATTAGCACACACTTTACTTAGAGAGCTAATGAGTACAACTGTAATTGCAAGAAAATGTTGGCTTTACATGATTTTACGGTCAATCCATCCTCCGTATTCATCTTCAAGAACCTGAGGGAGATAATTGTGATACAAGGTCACATGCGGTTCAATTCCTGAAACAGAGAACCACAAATTTCATCTTCTTCTGGACACCAAATGTGATATGATAAGAAGCATAATCTTACCATATCCTTTGAGCTCATAAATGAGGTTCTTGTAAACCCATTGGATTCACAGGACCTCTTCCACTTGGTATAAGGCGCGGCCAGGAGATGGAGAGCCGGAATGCATCTAAACCCATGTCATACATGAGCCTTACATCCTCCTGCACCATTATCACATTACCCCATTATTCAAATTTTGAGCAACCAACCAAACAAATAACAGAGGAAACATACATGATCACTACTAACCAACCTTATATTTATGATACCCATCAGAGGCCATATCTCCGTTAGGTCCGCTACCTGCATCGTTAAGTAGACTTATGGTCAGTAAAACACTAAATCTCAATGCGAGAGTGAAGGTATGTATCCCATATGCTAGGCGTCCTTCCATCTTCATCAATGGCTCCTTCCCACTTTCATACAACAGAACCACCATTTTCAGCTCATCAAATTTACGTACAGAAAACAAAAGGACAATTGACCAAGACATGCAGCCTAATGGTTTCGAATTTGGAAACCTGAAATGCAGAAACGCCGGATCCGAAGACGAAACCCTCCGGGAAGTCATTCTTGCTGTAAACATCAATGCTTCTCCCAGACAAAGCCAAACTTAACAAAATGGCAATCACAAATTAATTATGTTTCATCTTCCAGAAGCCTCTCTCTCTCTCTGAGCATGAGCATCCATTCTTAACCACCGACACAACTATATATACACCTGGAATTAATTAACAAATGATTCATCACTTCAATATTTTTCCTACACTTGTCTGTTAAGACCTTTTTTCTTGAGAAATTTGCAGAAAAGTCATAAGAAACTAGTTCCAATTACAAAAAGTCATAGAATTCAAAGTGTTTACAAAAAGATCACAAATACCTAGTAAAAAGACAATTATACACATAAAACA